CCGCGCCACAGCCTGCGCACCCGGCAGCCCCCCGCGCCCCGCAGCCCGGGAGACGCGCGGGGGATGGGCCCGACCGCGCGCTCTGATGGGGGCCAGGAGCACGTCTCTTTTCCGCCTCCCTGACTTCTGCAAACAGCGGTGAGGCGGGGGCACCCGGCCCCACCTCGGACCCTTACGGTCCCCAGAGCCCCTCCCCAGAGCCCTCCTTCTCGCCCGCTCCCGCCCCACTCTCCTCCCTTTCCTCCCCCTACCCCCACCCGGGTTCCCGTCTCCCGGCTGCGTTATCTGCATCTTCACTTTTAAATTTCCGCTTCCCTCCCTCTCGCCTGTCGCTGCGCTCCCGGCCCTGTAGCCGTTGCTCCTTTATCTCTCCCCCCCCCTACCTACCCACACCCGCTCCTTCTCCCCCTCCTCTTCTCCCACTCTGCTCTTCCCTAGAGACCCTATACCCTTCCCAGTCTCCCTCTCGCTTTCAGCCGCTCCCCCAGGGTTGTAGCATCTGACCTGGCAACTCCTCCTGGGCTGCACCACCCTCTCCCCTCCACACCCCTTCTCTCCTACTCCCGGTCTCCTGTCCCACCTCCTCCTTCTGTCTCACCTCTCTCCCTTCCCTCCTTTTCTTATTCATTCAGTCCCCACAAATTAGTAGCAGCCCGCCCATTGCCAGGCTGGGAAGACAGTGAGAGAGTCTGGCTTTTCCTGGGCTACTCTTGATCCCCCTTCCCCATTCCCTGTCATCCCAGTCAGCCACCCACCCTCACACTGCTGCCATCCAGGTTGTCCCTGAGCCAGCATAGACAGGCAAAGGGTTAAGACACAACTGACTGTACTAAAAGGCTAAAATCCACATCAAGAAAGGGGTACCTTTCTCCAACTCCTGTAAAGATACTGAATCTCTGGGCATCTGGCCTCCTGGCTCTGGAGAGGTAGGCCGAGGAGGGACACAGGATGAAGATGGGGCCTTGGGTCGGGGAGCTTGGCTTCTACAACCATGCAGCACCCAATAGCAGAATTGGGGTTCTCAAGGTCCCTCTCGCAGCTTGCAGTGGGGGGAGGAGGGCGGGAAGGGAGGCAGAGGGAGGGGAAGGCCTGGGAATAATCAGGTCTCCTGCTGGGACCTTAGTCCTGGGGTGCCTGACCGAGGATGGCAGTAGTCCTGCTCCTGGGATTGCCAGAGCGCCCCGTCCAGCCTCATTCACTGCAACTTGGAGTGGTCATCTTTGCTGGCGAAAGTGCAAAAGACCCAGGGAGCAGTGTGGGAGGCAGAGTGGGAGGAAGGGAAATTCCAGGACCCTAGAAGAACAACAGGGATGGAGACTTTGGTATGTGGACATGGAATCTGGTGAGAGCAAAGAGGTCGGGATGGGCCAGCCACAGCCACAGGTAGGGACCACACGGCAGGCCTGAGTTCAATTCCCAGTTGGACCTGAAGATCAGTGTAAGAGGTGTTCTTGCCGTGCCAGCTGGGAAGCTGGGGCAGGAGGATGGCAGCAGTGAGACCCTGTCATGGAGAGAGAGAGACTGGGTTGATCCTGGGGGCCAGACTCAGAGCTCCCACCGGAGAGGGCCTTGAGGGTGGGACTGAGATCCCAGCCCTTCTCTTTCTACCATTTTCCCCCGAACCATTATCAGCAGAAAACAAAGAGAGGGCAGCAGGTTTGCCCTCTTACTGTCAGTGGTAGCTGAGGCCGAGGGACAGGCTCTCAGAGGGGACATCTACCCAGATGTCCTTACTGGAGCTGGGCAAAGGTCAACAGCACAGGTTTTGCACCCTGGTCTCTTTGAGGACTTCATCGCTGAAGGGGTGGGGCGCCA